GTATCTCTGGATTCAAATCAATGAAATGACAGTTTCTGTCCCACAAGGTTCTTAAGGTCAAGGGTTTTGACCTTAGGCTTAGTCGTGACACCAGATTAAGTTCACTACATAATGTAGTCGACATTTCACTGTTAGCTGCTCCAAAGCCTTGAAGCTATGACGGTTTATCAGAGTACTGTTTGCGCACCAACTTTTACTCACGTAAATGCATACTCCACCTCCCGTCGATTTCCCCATTAGCATTAAGGTCCTGGGTTCAATCCCCGGTTGGACCTGGGGTCCTTCTGTGAGGAGTTGGCATGTTCTTCTTGTGCTTGTGTGGGTTTTCTCCGGGTACTCCGGTTTCCTCCCACAGACCAAAAACATGCATGTTAGTCTGCCTTCAGGTCCAGGCCTCCCTTGAAAAAGAATCTGTGATCTCACTGGGATTTGCCTGGTTAAATAAAGGTTAATAAATAATAAAATAAATCAGATATACTTTGAAAGATTCTGTTAAGAGATTTTGGGACACTTGGCAGCCATTTGTATCCTATTTTTAAAATATGTCTATGCCTGTTTCACATGTTCATGTCTGTGCGGCTGATCTGGTGTAGGAGTGGTGGTAGGAAATGTTCTTCTTTTGTTGCAAGTTTTGTGTGTGTTCTAAAAAATAAAAACAAAAAAATCAATGAAAAGACTGATTAAATAAAAAAAAAACACCAAAGAAGAATAAGAACTTCCTTTACAGCATATTTTGAGCTGAAGCAGGGGCGCCACATGAACTTGGTGCCACAGCTCCAGTTCAAAATACGTCGTTAAAGAAGTTCTTCTTCTTTGGTGTTTTACGGCAGATTACCTCCACTCTGTTGCATCAGCGCCTCCTTGAGGCTGAACCCCACGCCTACAGTTCCATAAAGGAAGTTTCATCAATGTGAAACGTCTATCTGTCGATCTGCTTTGGATTACTCCGTGGCGTTCTCAAGGACCAGGATGTGTGACACAAAAAAATTAATTTTGGAATTGAAACTGAATTCTAGGACTGATTTTTTTTTTTTTTTTTTTTCATTTACCTTTATTTATCCAGATAGTCTCATTGAGTCACAAGAACTCATTTTCAAGAGAGACCTGTTTAGGAGCAGATGGTGGGGGTTAAGGGTCTTGCTCAGGGGCCCAGAGTGGGGCCAATGAGGGTGGAGGCAGGTGTGGGTGTTTCACCTTTTCCACCCACATTTTGATGTTGACGGTACCGGGAGTTGAACCTGCGACTTTCTGATCACAGGCCCATCTTTAAAATGAAAGAAGTACATTTTCAACACAAGCAAATACAGTTTGAAACCATTAAGTTCAGTTTGAAACCATTAAATTCAGTTTG